GCTTCCGCTTATAACTTGAATAGTCAAACCGTTTGTATATTCAGTCAGTCAGTATGTTATAGTCGGGTCACACACACTAAAGGAATCTGCTGACATATAACATCGTTGCACACGGTCCCATTGTTGGAGTGACCGAAATATTACCAAAACTGCTGATGCAGCGGCACGTGGAGCAACAACGGACGTGGAGGCAATCCGAGTAATAGAGTTCACTTTTAGATCAACCATCGATCGGGTCACATAGTTAGGTTAGTTATTAAGAAATATAATGTAATTTTATTTCATTAAATTAGTATTAAGTAAATTTTGGTTTTCTTTGAAATCTCCGGCTGCAGCTTCTATAATTAGTATTCCGATAAGCAACGTGTAAAGTGTGTGTATCTAAACAGTGAGAAACAAAATAATTTATTAGATTCCAATTATCATTTAGATGTTACCTAGCTAGTTAGCGGTTATTGGTATTACTTTTAACTATATTGGATGAAGTGACACAAGCCAATCGGGTACAGAAAAAATCCAGAAGTCGAGATGGTAACTCCGAAGCAAACTGCACTGAACTTTTATTCAGGGAGACCATGAGCCAAACTGGATAAAGTATATAATTTTACTACTATAATTTCTGGGTGTTAACTGACACAAGCTGCTTATCCATAAAGTTATAAAAGTATATCGTAGTAGGACTAATAAATGTTTAATATGTATGTTCATTGCGTTAGGCATATTAAAGGAAACTAATGAATGTTTACGTTTTAGTCAGTGTAGATAAGATAAGATAAGATAAGATCTTTATTTGCCAGAACACAAGTCATTGAGGTCACAAATAATCAGACAAGTACAGTATTCTGCCTGCGGACAGGCGTGCAAATATTGTTATTATATTATTAACTTATTACATTTTTTATTATCATATTATATATCAAACATCTCATAAAATTACAAATTATTATTATATATTATCATTATGTCATGGATTTTTTTTTAAAGCTAAAAAGTCTTTAACGCTATAAAAGCAGTGTTCTAGAAGCCACTTTGTCAGTTTTAGTTTAAATTGATTCATGTTTAACAGTTTCATGTCATCTGGCAAATTGTTATATAAAATTATGCACATATTGTAAATATTGTTTTTATAGATGTTTTTAAGACAAGGAGGCTGATACAACAGGTTTCTATATTTTCGTCTTGTTTGTCTCGGAATAATGTCCACACGTTTACTCCAGTAATTGGAATGAGAGTGAACAAATACACAGATATCTTTTATGTACATACAAGGTAGAGGCAAAATATTAAGCTTTTTGAAAAGTGGCTTACAGCTATCATCGAACCAAGCATTACACATAACACGAACACACTTCTTTTGAATTTTAAAAACTCTGTTTAGATCTACAGAGGCTCCCCAAAGTATCAGGCCGTAGCTTAAAACCGACGACACATAACCATGATATGCTGTTAAGGCAGCTTCAACAGAAACTGTTTGTTTCAGTTTCTTTATGGCGAATACAAACCGGTTAAGTTTTCCACATACATGGTCAATGTGCTGCTTCCAATTAAGATGTTTGTCAATAATGATTCCAAGAAAACGTATTGAATCTACTTCTTCTATTACGTTATTTCCGAAATTAATTTTTAAATGAATAGGGTTTGAATTGTATGATCTAAACTGAATTAAGCGTGTTTTACCTATATTCAACTTTAAATCATTTGAATCCAACCATTTAGTAACGTCTGATAGTGCTGAGGTTATTTTACATTCAAATGTGTCACTATTAGTATTATCACATTTAATAACAATTGTTGTGTCATCTGCGAACATTATGCATTTATTGTTTGTGCTACGCGCAAATCGTTTACGTATACCAGAAAAAGTAGTGGCCCAAGTATACTTCCTTGAGGAACACCGGTATTATTTATTCTGAAATCAGATTGATATGACTGTTTTATATGTATATTATATTTCTTTACAATTTTACTCACCTCGGTAGCCTGTAATCTGTTGTTTAAGAAACATCTTATCCATTCAAGAGCATTACCTCTAACACCACAATTGCATAGCTTGTGCAAAAGTTTAGAGTGACTTACAAAATCAAAAGCTTTGCTCATATCTAGGCACAAAGATACAACAGGAGTTTTGTTATTGAGGCTTTCAGTTATGTGACGCATAAATTCAAAACATGCCAAAGAAGTTGAGCGACCCTTACGAAAACCATATTGATTTGAATGTAAGGTATGGTGTTTTTCAAGAAAACTCAACAGCCTAGAATGCATAGCTCTTTCGAAGATTTTAGACATGATTGGTACTAAAGTTATAGGTCTATAGTTATTTGGATCCAGTTTATTGCCTTTCTTAAATAAGGGCTTCACAATACTGATCTTTAGTTGCTCTGGAAACTTCCCCTCACTAAATGACAAATTTATAAGATGAGTCATAGGATGGCATATAAAAGAAGCACACGATTTAATAATATGTGTAGTAATACCATCGTAACCATTTGACTTACTATTATTCAAAGAAAGGATAATTTTATAAGTTTCATTTACATCCACAGGTCTTAGAAACATTGTAGAAGAATTCGTATTTTCAATAATTGATCGAGATGTCGTAATATTTGCAGAGTCATTGTTTTTAGTCAAATTTATAAAATAATTATTGAAAATATTGCTAATGTCAAAAGGATTATTGTATATTTTATTGTCATAAGAAATGGAATTAATGTCGTAATTATATATATCGGGTTGGCACAAAAGTAATGAGACACTTGGTTTAAGTTTTTACTTTTTTATTATTATTACAATAAAAAAAGTTTAGTCAATGATGTAATTACCATTAGTATCTAAGACTTCTTGCCAACGATCCGGCAAAGTTTGGATGCCTTTTGCCCAGAACTCTGATGGCTGTGCCTCGAAAAAGTTGTTCAACTCCGCCTCTACGTCAGAGAAATCATTAAATTGTTTACCCCGCAAATGCTGTTTCAGGGCTCTAAACAAATGATAGTCTGATGGGGCGAGGTCTGGGGAATAAGGTGGGTGGGGTATCGTCTCCCAGCCCAAGTTCTCCAACTGCCGGCGAACCACAGATGCGACGTGAGGTCGAGCGTTATCGTGCAGTAAAACTACATTGACTCGTCTTCGTCGTTTTTTCTTGATAGCGGCAGATAATTTGGTAAGCTGGGTTGAATATTTGTCAGCGTTTATAGTTTCATTGTGTAATAGCTCATAAAACAGTATGCATTGCGCATCCCAGAAACAGCAAAGCAGAATTTTGCGGCGGTTCTTTTGACTCGGCTTCGGTTGAGTTGGTGGCGTTTCTTCTCGAGGCAGCCAAAAAGCACGACGTGTGTATCGTTCTCGTAATAAATCCATGATTCATCTCCAGTAACCAGATCTGACAAAAACTCTTTACGTCGGGGTCGCAACAAAAGTAACAGACAGATAGCGACACGGACTGCACGACTGGCGTCTGTAAGGATGTGCGGTACCCACCGAGCCAAAACTTTTCGATAACCAAGCTCATGCAGATGGTGTTCCACGGCGTGGTGACTGCATTTAAGTGCTTCCGCTAATTCACGAGTGGTAGCATCCGGATTCAACTGCAGTTCGCGGCGCAAATCGTCATCATTCACTGCGGGTGGCCGCCCTGAGCGTGGCTGACTTTCAAGGCTCCTGTCTCCTGATTTAAATGGTCAAACCATCGGGACACCATCGCATGGCTTGTACTTCCAGCGCCTAATGCATTGTTGATATTGTCAGCCGCAGCCCGCGCACTGTGGCCTAACAAGTACTCGTATAAGTATAGTGTTCGAACTTGTCGCTCGTCCATTTTTCTTCAAACTGACTAAACAAATCGCGAGCGCGGCTTTATATACCCTACACCAGAAGTACCTAGAATGTTCTACAACATTCTAGAATATTATCGAAAAAATTGATTTTAAAAAGGAAATGTTATAGATTTTTCTAGTGTGTCTCATTACTTTTGTGCCAACCCAATATTATTAGAAGTCATTGATGATATTGTATTCCAGGTAGCTTTACATTTATTTTTATTATTTCGTATATATCTATTGTTATAAATTTTTTGTGCACACAAAATACATCTTTTTAAAATACTGTCATATCTTTTTAAATTAACTTTATTTTCTGATTTACCATGTTTAAAATTTTTGTATTTTAAATATAAAGATCGCTTAACCTTGCACGATTTTTTAATACCCTTCGATAGCCAAATCAGTTTTTTTGAACGATTATTTATTTTTACTTTAATGATTGGGAAGCAAAGGTCGTAAAATAGGAGTATCATATCATAAAAACTCTGGAAAGCATCAATAAAATTAAAACTATCTAAAACTTCCGAAAAAGAAAGAGACGACAAACATTCACAAAATTTAAACATGTTATAGTAACTATAGTCACGTCTTTCTTCAAACCAAGTAGAGTAGTGTTTTTGTTTATTTTTTATTTTTATTCGAATTGTTTGAGCTGTTTCATGATCTGATAGCCATAAATAATGAATTTCAGGGATCACTGATTTAATATTGCTTGCAATTTGGTCAATACATGAGTTTTTTCTAGTAGGTTCAATTATATGCACGTCTAAACCATAGTTTTGTAGTGTACCTAATAAATTATTGGTGGCAGTATCTCGTTTCAAAATATTAATGTTCCAGTCACCGCACAGCACTATTTTTTTGTTCTTATATTTAGTGGTAAACAAACATAGAAGTTTATCCAATTTATATAAAAATATTCCTATATGTGATTTTGTTTGAACTGGTATTCTATAAATATTTACTATTATAAGTTCTACTCCTACAACTTCAATGCCGCAACATTCAAAATAGTAATCTGTCGCTAAATCTGAAATAAAAGGTACTGATTTTACCTCTAACGTCTTTTTAATAATTATACAAGTCCCACCTCGGCTTTTTTTACGACAAAAATTAGCCACCAATTTATAATTATTTAGCTTAATATTTGCCTCCGAACCCTGACGAATAAAGGTCTCACTAAGGCAGATTATATCTACCTCCCTGCCATTTTCTTTAAATTCATTAATAGCAATGTTCAGTAAATCTAGCTTATTACAAAGGCCTCCTATATTTTGATTAAATATAATTAAATCGCTACTATCCTTACATATCACATTTTTAGCACTTTGAGAGATATTATTTTTATAGAAGCACAAATTTTAGGAGCGAAAACATTTGACAGATTCACGCGACGTATGAGCGTGAACATTATCTATAAATTCAGATTGATAACGTATAAAGTCTATTTCTATATTAATTTTAAAACATAGCGAATATAGAGAAAGTAACTTATCGCTTTCATGTATAAATTTACAGTTTTTATAACATTCTACCAACATTTTGAAATGATTATTTATTACATTTTTATTTAGGTATTTACTATAACGCACAGACAATAAAATTATTCTAATATCTTTCAATTTAAATAATACATTGCACAGGTTGGAGTACAGTAAATGAGGATTTTTATCATTTCCACCTAAAGACAAAATTATAATATCGTCCTTTTTAAATGTATATTCATCACTAAGTAGGCTATTTACCACTTGAGTACTCGATGCATTTGGCTTTATTAGCGCCGTTGTTTTATATGTATCATTCCATTTACCCGACCTTGTATGTGATAGTTTGATTGACAGCCCTCTCACACTTTCATCCCCAAATATATGGATAGTTGACTTTTTTACAGTGTTTAGTGTATCATATTCTTGACTGGTGGACTGGTTTCGTTGAATTTTTAAGTTCGTAGAAGATGTCGCTTTATTTTGTGGAGGAGTTTTTGGTGTACTAGAAAATTTCATACGATCATTTTGTAGTGTCATTTTGTTTTTAAGTTCTGGTTTGTTGGGGGAGGTATTCAGCTGATGCGTATTAAGTTCAATTACACTATCATTTACTTCCCGTTTCTGTTTACTAAAATGACTTCTGATCTTATTTCGTTTAGTAGATTGCGAATTCGGTGTAAATTGACTTAGATTTTTTAATTGTATAGCTTTCTGTTCATGGCTTCTTATTCTATCTTTTAACATATAAGTTTCTGAAAGTAAATTCTCAATTTCACTTTCTGCTATTTGAAGTTTTGTCCGTAAATCGATAATTTCTTTTCTCATATCGTCCGCTTGACTATAGATCATCGACTTTTCTGGGCAGCTTCTATTACATAACCTATCCGATGAAAGTGAGAGATAATCATTTTCATTATCATCGTCACAAGAGAGATCAGACAATACTTCAAAGGAATTATTTATTGGAATTGACGAAATTGATGTTGTTTTCGAATCATTGCGTATAAAGCTACTTTGCTTTTTTATCACATTAGTTAAGCAGGTACATTTCCAGTTACGGCGGCTCTCGACAGTCATAAGGCAAAATAACTTGTATGACACATTGCAACAGTTTAGATGGTAGTTATTTTCACAGGTTGAACAAGTTAAATATTGCCTGTCTTTAATTTTTTTATTACATTTAGCGCAAAGACTTACTCTTTTTTCTAGTTATGACACCCGAAGTTTCACGAACTTTTGTTGCCATGTTTATTATGTGTATTTAAATTTCTTTTCTACTTAATAAAAAGACAAAATTGTGATACTATGAAGTGGCGGGTTTGAACCTCGTAACTTTGATATCGTAATTCTAGCACAGTTGCCAATGCGCCAACTATGACTTAGTTCGAACTGTGAAATTACAGAATTGTATCGGTAATCAACTTCGTAGTTTTTACTTACATCGACAGATGTCACTGTTTTATTTTAAAAAGCATGCTACAATACCGTATTTGTTTAGTCCTTAGAAATCTTTCCATTAGGTGGCGCTTTTTTTCAATGGTTACAAAATTAGACTGTAAGTGTTATCAGCAATGGATAAATTCGTTTGCACTGTCTCTATTTTTTATATTTTTCAAATAAAATTAACGATCAGCTGATTGAACATAATACTGAATTGTAGCGTAGAATATTTGTAGTTTCACTTATTATCGTTCACTTTTTAAATAGGTTATTTATATAATGTTGCAACAGATTTTCCGATGATTATCTTACTTATTTAATGCTGCATAATAAAACGTTTCATGCTGCTTTAATTCTCATTCAGTGATTTCACTTTTCACTCAGATTAATTCACTAAACCACCGAGTCCTTCGTAAATAACAATAACACGTAATATTTGAGTATCTTTTAACAATTTAATCACTTAAAATTTTGATAAAATCCACTTAATCTATTTTTAAATCAATTTTCAATACGGAGCTAATGTTTATCTGGCTAGTAGCGCCATCTGATGTAGTGAAAAAATGTGATCAATCTTGCTGTCATGGTCACCAGATAAGTCGATTATCCATTCAATAAAACGAATTAAAAAGCGTGAATAGCATCAATTCTGAATAGAATTGATTTATAATATGTACTGAATTCTGTCCCCCACTCGTTCACGTTTACGTTTCGCTACCACTCACTCATGGAATGACAGAATGCCCAATGTTACCCTACTATTATATGTTTCGGTAAGTCATTAGAATATAAAGTTTTATGTATATTTTATATTATTGATATTATGTAAATAGAAAAACATTCGCATCTTTCAATTGCGCCTTAGACTTAGGTTATAATGTTTTTAACTTTTGTTAGATTATCTTACAATCAAAACAAAACAGTTATCTAAACAGTAGTTCGATATTGGCCTTATGGGTGGGTGAAAGAGCAGCCATGTCCGCAATTGTACAATCAATGGAATTTTGTAATGATATATATAATATAAAGAAAAATAATCATGTAAGCTCTAAAAGTAAACTGTTAACGTTACAACCATTTTTAGATGAGAACGGAATTTTACATGTCGGAGGGCGATTAAGAAATACCGATTTACCATTCGAAACTAAGCACCCGATTATTCTTCCTCATGATCATAGATAAACTTATTTATTAATTATTCAAGTTCATCAATTAACTTTCCACGGAGGAGTAAAAATTACACTGTCAACATTAAGAAAAAAATACTGGATTTTAGGTGGAATCAACGTTATAAAGAAGCATCTGAGAAAGTGCATTACTTGCCGTAAGAACAAACCGGAGTTAAAACCTCAAATGATGGGGGATCTGCCAACGTTACGTTGTAATTCTGCTCCCACCTTTTATCATATGGGAGTGGATTATACTGGATTTGTAAATGTGAAACATAACCCAGGCAGAAGCGTCAAAACAACCATAAGGTACATTGCAGTATTTATCTGCATGGTCACAAAGGCCGTACATCTCGCGTTAGTATCGGATTTAAGTAGTTATGCATTTTTAGCATCACTAACGTCGCATGGCCGCTAGAAAAGGTGCCCCCAAACATTTATATGGCGACAATGGGACAATTTTTTTAAAGGCAAATCGATTATTACAAGAGGAGTACGAACAATTAAACCAGATATTTAATAACCATTTTTTTTTAAATAAATTACGAAAATGAATATTGAGTGGCATTTTAACGCTCCCGCCTGGCCGACTGCGGGAGGTTTGTAGGAGAAAGCAGTTGGTAGCCTAATGTATCACTTAAAAGGAGTTATAGGATACTAAAAATTAACATTTGAATAGTGCACAGCACTTTTAGGCCTGATATAAGCGTGTCTCAATACGCGCCCGTTATGTACAGTGGGGGACATTTGCGCTCTTTCACTTCGCATCGATATTTGCATGAACGTGTCTCTTGCAGTGTTTACTACGCCCCGCCCACACACGCACTACTACCAATAACAATCCACTGTCCCCGAGTGCCGTGTGCAAGGATGCGTAAATGAATGAACACTTTTCTGTTTGTTTGTTTTTAGTTGCAATTTGCATTTTGCCCATTGTCAACGCATCTAATTGTGATATTATATTGTAAATCTTTCGACTGTGTATGCTCCCCGGACTACGATTCTTGCTAGATTGTATAAGATGGGTATTAACGCGATCAAATTTCCGATAGTTAGGTTTTTCACCTACCTATATACCCGTCTTATACAATCTAATATAATGCAACGCGAAAGTTTAACAGCCTTACTTATAAAAATTCATTAAACTATGGTTATTCAATCGTTATACCAAGAATAGTTATACTCGGTATATGCTCATAATAACGGAAGAATATCTTTTGACTTATAAACTTGGTATATCATCGGCGTAAGTATTCCACCCTTATGTTCGATGCACGTAGCGGCAACGCCGCATTTCATAGACAAAATCGAAAGAACGAAAGTATTTTGTCCGTGATTCGGTTGAAGTGATAAATGTAATGTAATGTAATACTCTTTATTGTACACACCATAAGTTAATGGACAAATATACAGTAATCAAACAAAGTAGTACAATTGGCGGCCTTATTGCTAAAAAGCAATTTCTTCCAGGCAACCTTAACATAGCATACAGGATACAGTTGGAAAAATTGGGTAGTCTATGGTGCATTAAGAAGTCTTCAGGTAACAAAACATTAAGCAGGAAAATTGTTTATAATACATAAACATACATAGTTACATATATATACATTGATACATAAATACATACATATACACTTACTTAAGAATACATAGTACAAATACACTTACTTAAATCATAATCCTATGACTGCTGCAATGAATTCAGTGATAAATAGTGCTCCTTAACTAATATTTTAAAATTGTTAATAGTTTGTGCACGCCTAATATCCTTCGAAGTGATAAATGTTACTGAGTTTGACGTTTGGTTGATTGGCGTTACATGTGGTTATTCCTCGAACAATACGCGGGTGATTTTGTGGAAGTTATTGTAAATTATTAAGTTAAATATAAACTAATATCATAATGGCAAGTAAAAGTAGTATCTCAACGCTATCAGTATAAACAAAGACGCCATATTCATGCTTCCGTTGAAAACGGTGATCCCGCCAAAGTTTGGCGATTTCTAAATAAGCTTGGTATTGGAAAAAATAAATGTAATCCCACTCTACCACCAAATACTAATATTAATGCCTTGAATACATTCTTCTCCTCGTCTGCTTCTATGGACGGAAGCATCAAAACTCATACTTTAAATACTCTTTCTTCTATGCCAACACCGTCATTTGCTCCTTTTGTCATTGAACCATTTACCGAGTGTGACATTGAGAAGAATATACTTGCTATATTGTCCAATGCGATCGGTAGCGATTGCATTAGTCGTAATATGATAATTCCTCTTCTAGATATCCTAACTCCTGTAATTACCAACATCCTCAACAAATCTATCTTGACGTCTTTTTACCCTTCTGCATGGAAGGATGCAAATATAGTGCCTGTGCCTAAGAAACCTAAGCCTGATTGCTTTTCCGATTACCGGCCTATATCCATATTGCCTTTCCTTTCCAAAGTCCTTGAAAAGCTAGTTTATCAACAGTTTAGTAAATTCCTTTCCTTGAACAACCTTCTGAATCCATTTCAATCTGGTTTCCGTCCCGGTCATAGTACGACTACTGCACTTGTCAAGATTGCTGATGATATTCGCGCAGGAATGGAAAATCGGCAGCTCACCATACTGACGTTGTTAGATTTCACTAATGCATTCAACACTGTTGATTTCGAAATTTTGCTAGCAACGCTGGTTTCTCTCAATGTATCTCCACAGGTGATTGGTTGGTTTCGTAGTTACCTGTATGGGCGACGGCAACGCATATGTGTAGGAGATATTCTCTCAGATTGGTGCGTTACAACAGCCGGAGTTCCGCAGGGTGGCGTTTTGTCTCCGCTTCTATTCTCTATTTTCATTAATTCAATAGCCCTCCCTCTATCTTCTTCCTATCACATGTATGCAGATGATTTCCAAATTTATAGCCAATGTGCGTTGGAAGAAATACCCACTGCAATTACCATTATTAACAATGATCTTGAACATATATCTGATTGGAGTCGGCGTCATGGTCTGTTAGTCAATCCTCTAAAATCTCAAGCGATCATCATTGGAAGTCATTGGTATCAGGCTAGGTTAAATTATGATACACTGCCACCTATCTTAATAAACGGCAATCGTATACCTTTCACTCAGTCTGTAAAAAATCTTGGTGTCATATTTGATTGCAATATGTCTTGGAGCCTTCATGTCCGAGAGGTTAGTAGGAGGGTATTTGGTGCATATAGCTCACTTAAGCGACTTAGGAATCTTTTGCCGACTAAGACTAAAATCACTCTTGCTCAGTCACTTCTTCTCCCTTTGCTTGACTACGCTGATTCATGTTATACAGACCTAAGTGTCGTTTTCCTAAATAAACTTGAGCGACTGCAGAATTTGTGTATCCGTTTTGTCTTTGGTCTACGTAAGTATGATCATATTTCTGATTATCGTACCCAACTTCAGTGGCTACCTATCTCTCGTAGAAGAGACTGTCATATCCTATC